AGAGATGTTCAGACCATGCACACTGCCAGAAAGCTCAGGTTACAGCGAAACCTCCAGAGTCATTTCCAGAACTCTCCCTTGCCCTTTGGAAAGTTGCTGCTGCAGCAGAGTCAGAACAGTGGCAAGTAACTAGAACCCGATCTTTGTTGCTGAGTTCAGCATGAATCTCTGAGAAAACTCAGCTCATTTGGCATCCTGAAAAGCTGAATAAGCAAGACGCAAACATAAAATTTCCCACAGAGATTCAACCACAACTAAATGAGTTGTCATGTTCCACCCAAACTCAGGCATATCCCTAAGCCTTTACCCTAACCAAAAAAAGCAACTACAGTCAGCCAGCCATCTGGAATTCAAGTAAGTTCAATAAATAATAGTACATGCAATGACAATGAGGTCCCGTTATTTTTTTTTCCTCAAATACTTAAATAATGTATTTAAATCAGGCACATAATATTCTAATTAAAATGACCTATTTCACAAACACTGTGCTCTCTCTGTTGTTGTTAAAAAATTAAGAGGGTTTAGTTGCCTTCTACTCTAATGACCCCAGGCCCAAATATATCAGAACAAAAAGTTATAGGGTCTCCAGAAGTTCTTTGTTGAGCCACAAGCCCATTTTAAAGCATGAATCTTATATCCCCTTTTATTAGTTCCAGAATTTTTACTCATCCTTGGCTGTATCACTACTTGTACAGATTCCTTTTCTACTAAAATTTAGATAGAGCATTAGAAAGACCTCAACAGTATTGTCAAGGTATTCTTTCTCAAGGTACGCCTAGGGGGGAAAAAAAAAGTCACAGAGCAAACTCTTAAGAGGCAGCTATTCCATCATGGCAGGATACAAGATCAACATCCAAAAATCAGTTGGATTCTTCTATACCAGTAAAGAGATTGCTGAAAAAGAAATAAGGAAATCAATACCATTACAATAGCTACCAAAAAAATAAAATACTTGGGAACAAATCTTAACAGGAACACAAAAGACCAGTACAAAGAAAACTGTAAAAAACTACTTCAAGAAACCATAAGAGACATACATAAATGGAAGAACATATCATGTTCGTGGATAGGAAGATTGAACATTGTGAAAATGTCAATTCTACCCAAAGCAATCTATACATTCAATGCAATCCCAATCCAGATCCCATCA